AGATTGAGGTTGTTCACAGCTTTAGTTTGCTTGGCTCTATAGTCAACACTTTGGGCACCAGCAGCCAGGAAATAAAAGACGTATTGAGATGGGAAAATCTGCTGTTAGGGACCTCTCCAAAATACTGAAAAGCAATGGTGTCTCTCTGGAGACTAAGATGCATCTGATACAGGCCATGGTCTTTTCAGTCACTTGTTATGCATCAGAGAGCTAGACAATGACTAGGGAGGATAGAAGGAGAATTGATGCCTTTGAGCTGTGGTGCTGGAGAAGAGTATGAGCGTACCTGCTAAAAAAAAACAGATTCATCCTGGATAGGGTTAAACAAGGCTGCTCCTTGGAGGCAAGGATTCTGAGGCTTCGTCTGACATACTTTGGACATGTTGTAAGGACGTACCAGTCCTTGGAGAGGGACATCATGCTTGGGAGGGTAGAGGGACAGTGCAGGAGGGGAAGGCCCTCTATGAGGTGGATTGATTCAGTGACTGGGGTGATCAGGATGTGTGTGTCGGAGACAGTGTGATTGGCACAAGATAGAGCAGGGTTTAGGGCTGTTGTACATAGTATTGCTATGAGTCACAAGAAAATCGACGGCATATAACAACAACAACAACATATATTGAACTAATATTAATATATTTAACATATATATATATACGATAAACTAGTATATATTAACATATTATATAATATATCTTATGGACTAGTGTATAAGTTTGAAAGCAGGAGTGGAATGAATCAATCACTGTCACACCACCTCATTGAGAGTCTTTTTATCTTGTGCGAACTCTCTCTACCCAGGATGATGTTTTTTCTCAAGGACTAAACCCTCCTGACAACATATCGAAAGTATGAAAATGAAGTTTAATGCTACTTGCTTCGAGGAAGTACTCCAATTGCCCTTCCTCCAAAACAAAGTTTATTATTTTTTTGGTGGTCCATGTTCTCTGACAGTGAATGCTTTTCTCCAGCATGTTTAAAGGCATTGATTCTTCATTAGTCTTCTTTATTCATTGTTCAACTTTCAGATGCACAGGAAGCAATTGAAAATATCATCATGCTTACTTTAGTCTTTAAATTTATTTCATTACTCTTTATCACTTTGGAGAGGTACTTGACAGCATATTTCTCCAGTGCAGCACATCATTTGGTTTTTAACTGTTGCTGCCATAGGTTTTGATTATGGATCCGAGTAAAATGAACTTGTTGACTGATCTTTTCTCTATCTGTCATCTTGTTGCTTACTGGTCCAGTGGTGCAGGGTTTTTGTTTTGTTTTGTTTTGTTTTTTAATATTAAGATGTAATCTATATTGAAGGGAGTTCTTGTGACTTAGGTACAAGAAGCTGCGCTGCAATCCTGAAGGCACCTGGTTCAAGGCCACCAGCTGCTCCTACGTGCTACTTAGTATTCCATTGGTGAAGGTACCATAGTTTCTCAATCCATTCCAGTGCAGTTGGACACTTGGGCTGTTTCCATGTTCTTGCTATGGTGAATAATGCTATGAACATTGGTGTACAATCTGTGTTTATGCCTCAGTTCTCATTTTCTTGGGATTTATCCCAAGCAGTGGATAGCTGGGTCATATGGAACTTCTGTCAAACTTCCTTCCAGAGTGGTTGTACCATTTTACAGTCCCACCAAAAATGTATGAGTTCTTAACTCACAACAACCTCTCCAAGATTTATTACTTGCTGCTCTACAAAACTTTGCCACTGCTTCTGAGATAAGATGGTATCTCAAAGTGGTTTTGATTAGCATCTCTCTTAATGCTAGTGATTGTGAGCATTTATTTTTTGAAATCAGTTTATGATACTAAACCATCTTTGTTTTCCTAAGAGAAACCCTGACAGTCATATTTTTAGAAGTCTAATCTTGTATTTTTGTTTTTTCTAAGTTTACAGATTTTCTGGCCTTGCAGATTTTATGCTTCTCATTTTTGGCCTCAGCTGTTACAAGGGGAAGTCACTTACATATACCAAGGAAGAGAGAAAAGAGGGAGGGATATGTCTTACTGTTTCTTCTCATTTCTTTCATAGAAAAATTGGCAAAAGAAAACTTACTTTTCACCCTGTATCTTTCCTTCAGTCCAGAAGATGAGATTTTTCTGTATACTGCTGAAATGAAGCCCCAGTGCCTTCTCCATCTGTCCTCATCTGAGGCAGCCAGGGAACTATGATATCTATCCAGACATCTTTTAAAAGATTAAGAAGAATCCAACTTGTCCACAGATGGCCTTGGATACTTACAATAGCCCCACGTTTAATAGGCATTAAATCAGAAAGTCTGAAGACCTGATTTTGCCATACAGTCTATATTAAGCTCCCAAAGTGATTTACTTTTGTGATGGATCATACATGATAGTATATCTTTGCATGCTAGGTGATTGTCTATTTTCCAGACAAACAAACAAACAAAAAATGTTTTACATTGTTGTTAGATGCTATTGATTTGGCTCCAATTCATTGTCTCTAGATACAATACAGTGTCACATTACTCTATCCTGCTCCCTCTTCACAATTGCTGCTGTGCTTAAACCCATTGTTGTAGCCCCATGTTTGTCCATTTCACTGAGAATCTCCCTTTTTTTAATTGATTCTCAGCTTCACCTAACATGATGTCTGTCTTCAGGGACTGGCCCCCCTGATAACATGAACGTAGTTACAACATGCCGATGGCTTCCCCTAAGACAGTTCATTTGTCCTTTGGGCATTCCATGGTGTATGCAATATTTTTGCCAGTGCCAGTTAAAAAGCATTACTTTTTCCAAAAGAGTATTTAAAAGACAAAAAAAAAACCCACAAGGAAAATGGGTAGGAGCTACATATGCTCTGAGTGCCTGGCTTTGGCTGATGAACCCTCCAGTGATAATAGACTTGTTTTTGTGGTTTGTTTTCCTTTTTTATAAATAGACTTGTTGTTTTATAAAACCTGTATGCAGAGCAGATTATCCAAGAGGCTGGGCTCTATGAGGAGAAGTGTGGCGTTAGGATTGGTGGAAGATCTGTCAGCAATCTGCATTATGCAGATGACACAACCCTGCTTGCTGAAACTGAGGAGGACCTCATGCACTTACTTCAGAGGGTCAAGGACTGCAAGAAGACAAAGATTCTCACCACTGGACCAATCGGTAGCATCAGGATGGATGGTGAAGAGACTGAGATTGTTCATAGCTTCAGTTTGCTTGGCTCCACGGTCAACACTTGGCACCAGCAGCCAGGAAATAAAAAAACGTATTGTGATGGGAAAGTCTGCTGTTAGAGACCTCTCTAAAGTACTCTAGAGCAACAGTGTCTCTCTGGAGACTAAGGTGCGCCTGATACAGGCCATGGTCTTTGCAATCACTTGTTATGCACCAGAGAGTTGGACAATGACTAGGGAGGATAGAGGGAGAATTGGCGCCTTTGAGCTGTGGTGCTGGAGAAGAGTATTGAATGTTCCATGGACTACCAAGAAAACAAACGGATCTATCCTGGAGAGGGTTAAACCAGGCTACTCCTTGGAGGCAAGGATTCTGGGCTTCGTCTGACATACTTTGGACATGTTGAAAGGAGAGACAGGTCCTTGGAGAGGGACATCATGCTTGGTAGGGTAGAGGGACAGCGTAGGAGGGGAAGACCCTCTATGAGGTGGATTGATTCAGTGACTGGGGTAATCGGGATGGGTGTGTCAGAGGCAATGCGATTGGCACAGGATAGGGCAGGGTTTAGGGCTGTTGTACATAGGATCTCTGTGAGTCGCAAACGACTCGACGGCACATAACAACGACATCAATTGTGATTTTAACAAAAGTTTACAGAAAAGTTAGATTTTCATTCATTTATTGTTGCACATTTTACCCCCTCCTTTAATTCCTTCTCCCCAAGTTGACTTTTTGTAAATACTAGTTTATTTACAAAAGTCGATTACATTGTTTTCGACAACAGATTCTTCCAATTTCCCTCATCCCCAACCATATTATACAACTCCATGGTTAATCTCCCCTGCCCCCTATAATAGAGTTCTTACTTTCATTTGGAGCAGCTTTTTTTGGAGGATGGGAGAGGGTGAAGCTAATAAAACACTGCTGCGTAATAACCTGTAACTTTATACTTATAACATAGAATTTGAACTCAAAAATTTGCAAAAAGGTTTACTGAATTAGTTGCATTTTTTTGCAAGTAACCTTTAATTTTTTTCTTTGAAATATTCTTCCTTTAGGATTTAGGAAAACTAGCTCTCAGAGCATGTGGGGGAAATTGGGGGGGGGAGTAATTGCTTTTCTGCTTTTCCTCTGGAAAAAATAAATCTACTTTTAGAATAAAAATAGAAAACTTATAACAGAGGACAGATCAAATGGAATCTGTGTTGTTTTGTTTTACCAAGAAAACTGTGCTTTGTTGAGGTAGCATTTTACAAAACAGTACAAAAGAATTAATTCAGTAGACACAGAACACCTGAATCACTGTTATTTAAGATATACCATTGAGCTCTCCATTAAGCAGTGGTGACTTATTAAGTAAACCTCTTCTTGGTAAGCATCTTGGTAAGTCCAAGGTGAATTAGTATTAGGGCAACTTATAATCTTCATAATATGGTTCCAGATTTTAGCCTACTAGGAGAAACAGAGGCTTTGGAGAATATGTGGTAGCAAAGGAGTTTTAATTAAGCTATCTTAAAACTTGGAGCATGTCAGATTTGTGATATCTCGAAACTTGAAGATTGTGAAGATGGTACGAGCTATGACAGCTAAATCTGTTGTTCATAGGGTGATTATGAGTCATACTTGACTAGACAGTCCTCCTAAAAGTGAGTCTTAGAATCTTAAAATTCCGTCTTCTAGAAATGTAATCCTGAATAGTTAGTTACACACTGAAGTACAGTGCTGTGCTTTCTGAAATGTGATAGCATATTTTTAAGAAAAGAGAAGCATGAAATTACTGTTTGGGATCTGAAACAATTATGAGTATTTTATTTTGTGTAGGTTATTCACATTGTCCTGTTTTGCTGTTTTCCTTTTAGGCTGAAAACCTTCTCCTTGATGCGGACATGAATATTAAAATTGCTGACTTTGGTTTTAGTAATGAGTTTACAGTTGGGAACAAATTGGATACATTTTGTGGAAGCCCACCCTATGCTGCTCCTGAGCTTTTTCAAGGGAAGAAGTACGATGGGCCTGAAGTGGATGTGTGGAGTCTCGGAGTCATTCTTTACACATTAGTCAGTGGCTCATTGCCATTTGATGGTCAGAATTTGAAGGTATCAGCTCAATTTTATATTATGTTTTTATTATCAAAGATTATAATTTGAAAAGCCAGTTATGAGTGCTTTGTTTTGCTTTTGTAAGGAACTGCGGGAGCGAGTCTTACGAGGGAAATACCGTATCCCCTTCTATATGTCCACAGACTGTGAAAATCTTCTGAAGAAATTATTAGTGTTGAACCCAATAAAAAGAGGAAGCTTGGAAGTAAGTCATTTTTTGGTACTCCATATTTATTTAACAAATATAACATTCCAGGAACTGAAGAGCCTTTTCTAAAAAACTTTTCCCCAATGATTGTTAGGAAAATTGTCATTATCACCTAATTCATCTTTTGTTTAGAGCTAAGACAAATGACAAGTCTTTATTACTCAAAAATTACCACAGTTCTTGGAATACTTCCTGGTCCTGAAGTGACATATTGAATATAAAATAATAATATAAATATAGAGACATTTACTTTGCTGGTGAAGAAGGAAAACTTAACCCCTCTCAGAAATTTCTTGATCCAAAATGGGAACTTTATATTTAGTAGGTACTCAGTAAATATCTCAAGGATGAAAGGTGATTGTAAGAATTAAACTTAATGCCTGTCTAAAATGAGTAATTAATTGAAAGTAAAGAAATTTAATAGAAGCATCTCAATCAGTAAAGAATATTTACACATATTTAAGTAGAGAGTATTGGAGGCAAACATTTCATTTCTTAATGGACAGCATGTCACCTTCATACATTCCATGTATGTGGTTATTTATGTTGTTAGATATTCCTGTAAATATGCCAGATATGTTACAGCCACGCTTCATTATAGAGACTCACATGGTCAAAATGTCTAAACATTTTACCTTCTGACACTGAAACTAGAACCATGTATTCCTGTTTTGTTCATCTGTCTGTAAGATGTCTCAGTATGTAGTGAAATAATTGCAGAAATTCAGCATGTATTATTCAATAGTGAGTTTTTATTTTCATTTGTTTGCCTTAGTAGAAAGGGTAGAGAATTTGTAGAATTAACCTCATTTAAATTGTACTTTTATAGTGTAGCAATGGGGCTTTCTGGCACGGACTCCATGCTGGTTAGGAGGCAGCCTTATAGTGAACCTTCCCTGTGTACAGAGCTCTCAGGTTAGTTTGGGCTTTGTGATTTAGTTTGGGCTTTGTAATTTTATTTCCACAAGTATTTCTACAAAAAGGTGTAAAATGTTTTGATGGAAGTTAAAGGATGGTGACTTCCATTGAGAAAATAGTACATGCTTTATAATAGTGAATCAGTGATTAGAATATTTTTGTTTTGGAAGTATTAAGTGTGATCAGTTCTGTCCTTTGACTTTTGTGGTTTTTTGTTTTGTGGGTTTCTTTTGTGGGAAAAGGTTTTGTTAATGTTTTAATAGGAATATTTGTACAGTGAAAGAGCTCGCTTTCTTCCCATACCTTCCATATAAACATGATAATAATAGAAAATTATGTTAAAAGTTAAAACCATTGGCTTTTCTGTCAATTTTAAAGTTTTATAGAGACATTAAAGAAGTTCTCATAATCCTACTTTAAGACCCACTTTTGTCATAGGAGCCTTACTTAATATTGTCAATAAACTGTTCATGGCTGAACTAAGCTAATATCAACTAAGTTGATGATCAACTAAGTTCTTATCAACTAAGCTAATAATAATAATAAGCAAAGTAGAAAAACAATGGAAAAAATATTTGAGGAAATAAATGTTACAGATCTCTTTAAACAGTTGATAAGACATACTTTGTATCTTTGTTGTTGAGTACCATTGAGTTGGAACTCACTTTCACTGGCTCTCCAGTGGGTTTTCAGAGGCAGTAAATCACACAAGAGAAGATTGCACATCATTCTCCTGCAGAGCAGCTAGTGGATTCAAACTCTATACCTTTGTGTTGGCTGTGAGGTTCCTTACCAAGTCACCAGAGCTTCCTTTGCATCTTTAGTATGATTTCTTTTAAATAACCAAATATTTAAATCTTGCATCCTTAGCATTACTTCTTTGTGCTGAATTTTAAAAACATTATTTTTATTAAAACATTTGATCACCAGAGCTCAACTTATAGTCTGAAACTTCTGGTTCCACATTAGTAAACCTAAGTTTGTGTCATTCATAGAACTGTGAGTTCATATTGGAAATAGTATTGTAATATTTCAGGTGTCAACATACAACAACTGGTTTGCTTTATAATTCCCAGAAAAGGCTTTACAGAGAAACCTGACCACATTAAAAATTTAATAACAACAAAACATGACTCTCTTAAGCTGAACGTTGGGAAACTCGCCTCAAAATTTGAAAATGATCCAATTTTAGGTTTTTTCAGACCAACTCTGTATTTGCTATTAGCACTCTAGCAAGTTCAGCTATGCTTGAAAACAGGAAGCAACAAAACTCCCTCACCTTCAGGGCTGCACAGTAAGAATCAGCATGAATCCAGTCCCCACTCTGTGGACTGGATTGAACCAGCCCTCACTTTGCCATTCTTTTCCATCTGCCACATGATACCCTCCAACCTTTGCCACTTAGAGCTAGGTGACCAGTGAAAAGGACATTGTGCTTTAGACTGCCAGATAGACTCTAGCTACGAGTTTGAGGACTTCAAGAACATTTGTGAAAACCAAAGGACGCATTATCCTGCTAAGATCAGATCTTCTTGCTGACCAAGAAGCCCTCTGTCCTTAGTGCTCTTGGGTTTTTATGGCAGGCCTGTATAATGGGCTAAATCATGCCGCCAGGGGCTAGTAGGTAACAGTGTCTCAAGTTAGTTTCTCTCAGGCTCAGCACCACAGATCCTCATGTGGTCTGGATGACCAGGCCACCCCAGTTTCTCCAAGCATTGTTCCACCTTACTTGGAGTAAAACTAGGTTCTTTACCTCACAAGGAATAACCACACATTTTTAAGTAGTGATGTTTTCACATTGCTTATTACTCTTTTTTCTTAACTTTATAGTTTCCACACGTCGTTTCAATTGTTAGACGCCGAGGCGGTCTTGACTCCTGACAGCTTTGTGAACTACAGAAGCAAGAAATGCTGATCGGGCATTATCTGGACAGTCATTGCTGAGTTTGAGTCCATTGTTTTTGCCAATTTCTCAGTCTTCTTTAGAGTCTTCCTTTTTTTCTCCCCTTTGCTTTTCCAAGAATGATGTCCTTTTCCAGAGAATGTTCCTTCCTTATAGGTCCAAAGTGTGTGAGAAGGTCTTGTCATCTTCGCCTCCAGGGAGCATTCTTTCTTTCCAAGAATTTGTTCTTCCAGCAGCCAAAATATAGTCAGTATTTTTCATCAGTCTTACTTTAAAGGGACTGTGGGTGTCACTTCTTTGTAATACGAAGGCATCAATCCTTCCTTGACTTTTCTTATTCATTGTCCACCTTTCACATTCATGAGTGAACTGAAAATTCCATTCCTATGTCAGGCACACCTCAACTAGAAAAGTGACACCTTTGCTCTCTAGCATTTTTTTCGAGGTCCTTTGTAGCATTATTTGTCCAATGCAGTACGGCAGTACATCTTTTTTTTATTATTATTATAGTTTATTTACAAAATTCTGATACATTGTTTTCCAGAACAGTTTCTTCCAATTTCCCTCATTCCCCCTATTAAATTGTACAACCCATGATTAATCTCTCCTCCCCCTGCACATCCTCATCCCTCTGCTTCCACCCTCCCTCCTTTGGTTCCTTATATGCATTCTTCAATAATGGTTTTATACAATATTTGCAGTACATCTTTTATTGTTCACTGCTGCTACTATGGGCCTTGCTTGTGGATCCAAGTAAAATTACATCCTTGGCAACCTCAGCCTTTTCTTAATTTATTGGGATGTTGCTTATTGGTCCAGTTGTGAGGACATTTTGTTTAGGTGTAATCTGTGGTAAAGCCATTCCCCAACAGTAAAGCCTTCAAGTTCTCCTGACTTTCAGTAAGGCTATATTGTTGATGTTGTTAGATGCTGTCAGCCCTATATACAACAGCCCTAAATCCTGCTCTATCCTGTTCCAATCTTACTGTCTCCGACACACCTAACCCCATTACCCCAGTGACTGAATCAATCCATCTCATTGAGGGTCTTCCTCTCCTGCGCTGTCTCTCCACCCTCCTAAGCATGACATCCCTCTCCCAAGGACTGGTCCCTCCTTGCAACATGTCCAAAGTATGTCAAACGAAGCTTCAGAACCCTTGCATCCAAGGAGCAGCCTGGCTTCACCCTCTCCAGGTTGAACTTGTTCTCCTAGCAGCCCATGGTATATTCAGTACTCTTCTCCAGCACCAAAGCTCAAAGGCATCAACTCTCCTTCTGTCATCCCTTAGTCATTGTCCAGCTCTCCGATGCATAGCAAGTAATAACAAAGACCATGGCCTGTATCAGGCACACCTTAGTCTCCAAACTGACATTTTTGCTCCTTAATACCTTGGAGAGGTCTCCGACAGTAGACTTTCCAAATGCAATTCATTTTTTAATTCCTGGCTACTGGTACCAAGAGTGTTGATTGTGGAGCCAAGCAAACTGAAGCTGTTAACAATCTCAATCTTTTCACCATCTGTCATGATGCTGCCAATTAGCCCAGTGGTGAGAATCTTTGTTTTCTTGACATTGAGCTTCAATCCATATTGAAGGCTGCAATCCTTGACCTTCTGCAGCAAGCGCTTCAGGTCCTCTTTGGTTTCAGCAAGTAGGGTTGTGTCATCTGCATAACACAGATTGTTTATAAATTACCTCCAATCTTGCTGCCACACTTCTCCTCACAGAGCCCAGCCTCCCAGATATCTCTTCTGCATATAGATTGAAAAGATATGGAAATAGGACACATCCTTGATGCACACCCTTCCCAATTTTGAACCATGCAGTGTTTCCTTGCTCTGTCTGACAGCTGCCTACTGGTCCAAGTATAAGTTTCATATAAGCACAATCAAATGTTCTGGGACTCCTGTTCTCCTCAAAGTCAGCCACAGTTTGTTGTGATCCACACAGTTACACGCCTTTTCATAGTCAATGAGACACAGATAGACATCCTCTGGTACTCTCTGCTTTCTGCCAAGATTCATCTGACATTAGCTATAATATCCCTAGTGCCACAGCCTCTTCTAAATCCAGCCTGCACTTCAAGTAGTTCCCTGTTGATGTGCTCTTCCAGTCATTTTTGGGATGATCTTCAGCAGAATCTTGCTTGTATGTGATAACATTGATATTGTTTGAT